GCGACCCAGCTTCACTGTTTATTGTCACAATAAATCACTTTTCACTTGCAACTGGATTCTGAGTTCTCTTCCCGTAACAGAACGATCTGACCAGGATGGATCCAGCAAGTGCAGCGGAGCTCAGAGACGTTCTTTCCGGCAGCAGTGCTCGCATGGAGCAGCAGGAACAGCAGATCCTGGCTACCGGTCGAGCGGTACAGACGCTAATAACGCAAGTTTCAGATTTAACCACCCAATTTCGTCAGCTACGGGCTGAAATGGCCCAATGGCCCACTGCGCTCGATTACGCTACAGCCTCACCTGTGGAGATTCCCAGCCGGCGGGCTGAGCCCCGCCTACCGCCTCCAACAGTCTACTCCGGTGAGCCCCTGTTGTGTCGATCATTTCTAGCGACCTGTTCACTTCATATTGCTCTCCAGCCTTCATCTTTTCCCACAGAGGAGTCCAAGGTGGCGTTTGTTATCACGCTGCTGACTGGACGTGCGGCGCTCTGGGGAACAGCGGTGTGGGAGCGGAAGCATCAGTGTTGTTCGTCATTCCAGTCTTTTTCGGATGAACTCAGGAAAGTCTTTGATCGGGCGGCGTCCGGCAGGGAGGCGGCGCGGGAGTTGGCGGAGTTACGCCTGGGAGATCGATCTGTGACTGATTACGCGATCGAGTTTTGCACTTTGGCGGCAGAGTGCAATTGGAATCAGGAAGCGCAAAGAGTCTGTGTGCCCGGCGGATCTCTGCCTCGGATTGTTTCCAGTCCTCTGTCTCGGATTATGTCCAGTCTGGGAACCCATCGAAGTCTCGCTGGATTCCACTCCCCTAGCTGGATCGGGTCGGGATTTCGTAATCCCCGTGTGCTCACGGCTACTCACCTTAATCATCACGTTTGGCTTGCGACCCAGCTTCACTGTTTATTGTCACAATAAATCACTTTTCACTTGCAACTGGATTCTGAGTTCTCTTCCTGTAACAGTAACATCCTCAAAACAAGTCCCCAGTCCTATCCACAATCACATTTACCGAAATTTTGCACAATAGTAAAACAAAAAAAAATTTCAACGCAGATTTTGCATTGTTTAAGGTTTTACACACAAATTTGTTGTGTTGACAATAAATGCTGCATTGTCCATTGACAGTGGACAGTGAACAAACTGGTTGAGTGAGTGACTCATTTATAAAGACAATGGCTGTATTCGAAATCACCTGCATTCACTATTCCCTACTCCACTAATATAGTCCAAAGAATGAGTAAATGATAACCAGAACAAATTTAGACATCTGGACAGTGCCAGCAGTGCGGCAGACACAATCTTCTGGTCAGACACAGGAATTAATTCACTATGACGCTCAGAGTGCACAGTGGTATTTTCTAGAAACTGCCCGTTTGGGGGTAACGCATTACAAGTAACGCGAGTTACGTAATCAGATTACTTTTTTCAAGTAACTAGTAAAGTAACGCATTACTTTTTAATTTAGAAGGAAATATCTGAGTTACTTTTTCAAATCAGTAACGCCAGTTACTTTGTTTCCCATGTCTTGACTGACAGCTCTCGTGTTGCCATGTTGAGAGAAATCGGGAGTAAGTACAGAGTGTGAACATGATGTTACTGTAGTTCTAGACTAAATGTCAACATGTATTTACTCATCTCACCTGCACAAAAACAGATTCAGTATTCCTCAAAATGAATAAAAACAGTCAAATACAAACTCAGGATATGATGTAAACCTGCAATAATTAAATATTTTAAATATACTTGATGTATTTAATCCCATTTTATTAACCAGTGTCTTCGCTTATGACCTTCGATGATCTAATTCAACCATACTAATAAGCAAAAATGACTTTAGATAAACAACAACATTTGGGTTTCATTTTTTTATTGCTGAAGAGTGTTAAACTTTCTTCTCCTGCATTCTACTGCACAGACGTGAATTTACATTTCCTTCAGCCTGAGGCTTATTCATTTCACTTTTGGTGTGAAAGGGCTTTTACTTCTGCAAAACAGAACTTTATATATTAAAAACAAGCAAGCAAGCCCTGCCCAGATTTAAAAAGTAACGCAAAAGTAACATAACGAATTACTTTACATAACTAAGTAACGTAATTAGTTACTTTTATATGGAGTAACGCGATATTTTAATGCATTACTTTTAAAAGTAACTTTCCCCAACACTGGTTATATACTCCTTAATGAGTGCACTCTATAATATCCACTATGGTTTTAGACATCATTACAAATGGCTGTCCCCTCAAATAGTGAACTATGTAAGGGTATTGGGTGCGATTTACATTTACATTTAGTCATTTAACAGACGCTTTTATCCAAAGCGACTTACAAATGAGGACAATGGAAGCAATCAAAATCAACAAAAGAGCAATGATATGCAAGTGCTATGGCACAGCTCATTAAGCCTAACACAGTACACATAGCAAGGTTGTTTTTTTATTGTATAATAAATAAAAATAAAAAAACAGATAGAATAGAAAAAGAATAGAGCAAGATAGAGGCCCTTTTTTGCTTTTTGTTAATTGTATAAAAAATAAAAAGAAAACAGATAGAAAAAAATAGAGAAGCTAGTGTTAGTTTTTTTTTTAAGAAAACAAGCAGTTAGTAAATCAATAGAGTGCAAGTCTAAAAGTTTTTTTTTTTTTTTAAAGAATAGAATTAGAATAGAGAGTGCTAGAGTTAGAGGGTCAAATAAAGATGGAAGAGAGGTGTTTTTAGGGACTCAGATTCTCGGATTGAGTTGGGCAGGTCATTCCACCAGGAGGGAACATTTAAT